ATAAAAATTATATTTGTAATAATATTAAATAAATTATTTCACACAAACTCTTCATTGCATTGAATTTACTCTTCATTTCAATCAACAATTCACTCATTTTTATGCAGTATTAATGAAACATATAAAAAACACCATTTATTGAAAACTTTTTCAAAATGTATGTATATTTTCACAAATAATCATTCAATTTCAAGATGTGTTTGGTTTGACTCCAACTCTGGAAATGTTGTCTCAAATGCAGTATTATTTGTAGTAATAGTTGTGCTCTCAATGTGTTGTCCAGATGTTTGCATCCATTTCATATGGCATATGCACCGATCGTAATAAAATATATATTAATGGAAAGCTGGTGGTAATTAAAATTTATTGGCAATCATTTAATTTTATCATGGTAGGGTTTAGGGGGGTTAAAAGGGGGTTATGTTCCAAACACGCATAGGGGGCTTTTGAGAGAGGGCATTACGTGTGGTATGTGTTTGCAGGTGTGTTACTGCAACTGCACTACTGTTGCATATTTTAATGCATTGAAAATCATGGCTAACCCCCCTTTAAGCCCCTTAAACTTCATCAAGCAAACATTTTATTGGTACCAGTGAATTTTAATTATCACCAGCTTTCCATTGATATATATTTCATCATGATCGGTGAATGTCACATAAAATGGTTGGATTGTTAGACATGTTTATTAGTTAAATAATATTAATAGTTATTCAAATTCAATGCATTTTTTAGTTTATTTAAATACAAAATAATTTATTTAATATTATTACAAATATAATTTTTATTTGTGTTTATCTTAATGTTTAAAAGTTTAATTTAATTTGATAATACAATTAAATCAAATTTAAAATTAATTAGTTAAATATAATTGTAAATAAGTATACAGTTTGATATGTTTGTTGAAATCATATGTTTAACAAACTTTTGATTACAATTATTATGAATACATTTATGGCTTTTTATATTCATGTCTTTTCATATGATCTTTTAGACCAAATTTGTAATTAAAACGTTTGTTACAATCATTGATATGACAAACAAATGGTTTTTCTCCCGAATGCACCAGTTTATGACGATTAAGAATTGTTTTTGTACTGAATTTTTTGCCACAATTTTCTTCATTACATTTGAATTTCTTTCCATTTAAATGAACACAACTTTTGTGTTGAAATAAATACTGTTTTGTTGTAAAACTTTTGTGGCATTCATTGAAATCACAAATAAATCTCACATTTAAATGAACGCTGTTTTTGTGTTTTACTAAATATGATTGAGATGTAAAACATTTATTACAATTATTAAAATCACATTTAAATGATTTTATTCCTGAATGAATTATTTGATGTTGAGTTAAATGAGTATTATATTTTGTTTTGTACCCACAATTAGGCCATGAACAGTGAAAATAATTAAATATAATATTATTATCACATTTTAAATGAACCATGTTCTTGTGTATTCTTAAACCTGATTTTGTTATAAAACTTTTGTTGCATTCATTGAAATCACAATCAAATCTTACATTTAAATGAATCACGTTTTTGTGATTAATTAATTGTATTTTCCATTTATAACTTTTATCACAATTATTAAAATCACATTTAAATAATTTTATATCTGAATGAATTAATTTATGTTGAGTTAAATTTTCTTTATTTGTTGTTTTGTATTCACATTTAGGCCAAAGACAGTGAAAATCTTGACAATCATTAATATTATGAACTCTAACTTTATGTTTATTTAAATATACTTTTGATGCAAAACTTTTGTGGCATTCATTAAATTCACAAATAAATCTCACATTTGAATGAATGTTATTTTTGTGTTGAATTAAATCTGACTTTAATTTATAACTTTTATTACAATCATAAAAATCACATTTAAATGGTTTTATTTCAGAATGAATTAATTGATGTTGTTTTAGATCCCCTTTCCGTTGTGTCTTGTATTGACATTTAGGCCAAAAACAGTAAAAATAATCATCAGATTTAGTAATGATATGACAATTGTTTAATACAGAGATTGGGGCTCTACCCGACGGCCCCTGACTTTAATAAATCGGTATATTTTGCCGCAAATCCCGAAATGGCTTTCGATCTGATGACCAGTTTTCCCGATAAATACGTGTATTNTTGAAAAATAATCATTATTTTCGCATTCAATCGCTTCACACAAAACACTATTATTTGTATTCAAAATACACTGAATTTTGTCTATTATTTCACACAAACTCTTCATTGCATTGAATTTACTCTTTATTTCAATCAACGAAACACTCATTAATTTTGAACACATTTTTAAATTTAAACTTATATTTAAAACTTATGTCTTTTTCACAAATATTTTTGTTGTTTCGTGTGTTAAGTGTTGTCAACGACTGAACGGGTATTGAATGCAAACGAATGGATAGAAAGGGATAAACATTCCTATCGTTTGATAAGAAACTAAATCCTATGAAAAGTGTTTCCAAAACAGTTTAATCCAAAACTTAATTCAAATACAAATGTGAGGAAAGCTATGGAAACACATATCAAATGCAAATTAAACCAATTTTTCAGATGTTTTACATTCAAAGCAATCTCTATATCGCTATTATTATTAATTTTTCATTATTTCCACCAAATTTTTGATAAAACTCTCGCTTCCAGTGGTCTATAAGTCCGGCGTTTATAATCACTGAAACACTGAATATAGAAAATAATATTAAATTAATAATCAATTAAATTAAAATTTTTAAAAACATATTTTTCTCACATATTATTAAACTCCGAAACAAAACCAAAATCTTTATTGAATGCAATGCCGACTAAATTATTGAAGAAATCGGATTTGGTATAAATTTTGGGTAATTTATGGCCAGAATTGGCTATAAATTGCATTTCGTATTCAAACACATATTTCTCTCTAAAATACACGTATTTATCGGGAAAACTGGTCATCAGATCGAAAGCCATTTCGGGATTTGCGGCAAAATATACCGATTTATTAAAGTCAGGGGCCGTCGGGTAGAGCCCCAATCTCTGTATTAAACAATTTTGCAATTTATTAAAATTAATTAACTCTTAATTCAATACCTGTTTCCTAACAAAATCACAGATGAGTTCACCGCCGAAGCCAAACATAAACACTATATGTCCGCCAATTTCGGCCACCAATAGGTCGTCAATTGTCTCATTCGGGGCCGTATCGACGGTCACAGCGATCCGGGCGTACAGTCCGGCCCCGTAATTATGTCTCAACACAATCGCCGTCATAATCCAGACAATCATCACTAAACGTACCGACAATTGGGCACTAATGGCCGCTCCGACCGCCGGTTGTGACAATAATATGGCCACAAATGTGTTTTTATCGCCGATTATAAGCCGTTTATTGCGGCCGTAATCGGCGGCCATTGTTATCACGTTCAGCGCAATTAGCGATAGTAGTATCGCAGACCAGATCCACGAGTCAAACGGTCCGGATAGCGATGTTGAATAACGGGCGCCGCTAATAACCGGTGCGGCCCACGTATAGCCGGTTATGTCGTGCGTCCGGCCGTTCGTCACGGCCTCAGACCGGACACCGATTATGATCAGAGAACCGATGGATAAATGAGCTTGCTGATATATTTAGTTGTGATTTGTATCATGGTAATTTGTTGTGATCAGTTCATACTTACACCGCTGTGTACGGCACCGACCATACCGTCCCACGTATTGTCAGCCAATTTTTGGCCCCTCTTTTGCCAGCAATCCATTAAACTATATGTAAAGTTTAAACTCTGACTAATTGTTTACAATAGTTTGCCCTCAAAGCCCTCGATCGTTTTGGTAGTGTCCGGTTTACCATAATGCATAAATGGAGGCACCTGTTTTGTACAGGTTAGTTTTTCATATTTGGATTTATTGTTATACATCTTTACCTCATTTGTGGCCACAATTAGTGATTTGCTAATTAAATTAACTCTCATTTTTAAAATTAAATATTACTAAAGTTTTATAATAATTAACTACACAATTATCAAATCCAATTTAAATTTTTATATAAACAGATGTTCAGCGAGTGATTCCTCTTCAAGTACTCCATCGATCGAATCCCACAATCAATTGACCACTAATTCAGACAAAATCAGTGATGATATCAATATTCGGGAAACGTTTAAGAAAATTGAGAATCAAATCAAAACTCAATACCAAATGACATACACTTTATTGAAGGCTTTGGTTATAGAAAATGAGTTATCGCTGACAGCACTCGAAGACATCAAACAATTGGCCGAAGACTCAGATGACAGCGAATCCATGACTTGTGTTGACCAAAAATAAGACAATATTTTGACATTTTTGTATTTTTTAGAAATTCTCTAAAACTATCATTTTATTCATTATTTTATTTAATTTTTTTATAACATATCTTAACATAAATAGAGATTTTAATTATTACCGATTATTATTGTGTTAATTATATTAATTTACCTATTATAATTTTAATATAGATTTAATATTGTATTATTAATTGCCTGTTTTTTATTTAGTCATTTATTTTCAACCATATTTATTTACTGCAAAATATTTGTTTAATTTGATTGCATTTTTAAAATTACATTTGAAATCCCTATTGATGACAACTGAACACAACTTTTGTGTCGAAATAAATACTATTTTGTTGTAAAACTTTTGTGACATTTACTGAAATTATAAATAAATGAAAATTATTTTTGTGTTGAATTGAAATGATTTTGAGTTTAATTGCAGTTAATTTAATTTAATAATTATGTAAACAAATTTTTATTAAACATATTTCATGACATGAATCCATACGACTTCAGCAAAATATTTGTCGACCCCTTTAGGAGAGAATGCGATCAGTTTTGGACACAATATTTTCAATAGAAATTCAATATAAAAAGTTATTTTATTTAATATTAAATAAAATGTATTTATTAATAAAGTTTATTATTATTAATTACAAAATCATAATTATTATAAAAGTTGACATTGTTTAAAATGTCATTTCAAATAATAAAACATCAAATTATAATTAAAATAAAATAGTTATAGATTTTGTTAAAACATTATAATAATATGACAACTACTGTAATTTGCTTATAATTTATTACTATTAATTTGAGGATTACTTTTTAATATTACATTTAATGTGTATGTTAGTTTTCAAATGTTGTGTTAATTTATATTTTGCAACAAAGCGTTGATTACAGTTATTATGAATACATTTATGGCTTCTTATATTCAAATGTCTTTTCATATGTAGTGTTAAATGAGATTTTATGCGAAAAGTTTTATTACAATTATTGAAATGACAAACAAATGGTTTTTCTCCCGAATGTATGCGTTTGTGTCGAATTAGAACTAATTTCTGACCAAAACTTTTGCCACAATTTT